TTCGCCGTGCAGTTGCCATAGAAGTGATATGAAGGTGTTTTTTATAATCGACGCACTACCTGGCCAACCAAGGCTGATGGGGTACAGGTGCTGATACAGGCATTCATTCGGTCGTTGTTGAACGCGTTTTTCATAATCGACGAAAGTAATACAAACGGAATTGGTATTGCTTGATAGAATCCTATGACCATAGCTGGTAGTATGAACGTGGAGTTTGCAACTTGCTTGATCAATAGATCAAGCTTGTTTTTTAAAGGCTTTCTTTAGAGCGCAGCGTTTTGATTTGCGTTATAGGACAATCTCTGTGAGAATCTTGTAGGTGAACGTATAACAAGCAAATTAGATGACAGTTGCAAAGTTTCCATCGGTCTTCCGTTCTGGGTGGGATGACTACGTGAAGTCCTCCACTGCGTAAGGACCCATTTCGTTTGAAATAAGTTGTTATACAGCCGAAAGAAAAGGTGTGTAAGTTTATAGGGAATGGCCTAATAGAGCTGCGCATTTCTATATACTCTCTATCGACTTCGGAGGCTGTTATCCGGACTGACCGTATTAGGTGTTTTACGATACAATTATGGTTCACTTCTCTTCTTGATAGACTCCTTAGTGGAAATAGTGAAGCGGATTTCATTAAATGGGACGAATTCAACACAGTCTCTAGTTATTTCGATGATCATCTCATAGTGTTCAGTCCGGAATTGTTTATTCTGCTTGTCATATAGGGAAGCCACTTCACACAGAATTCTGATCATATACCTTTCTTCCTTAGGCGTTGAAAAGAGTTCCTCTCCCGCTTATGGCCGAATCGATTTTTCGCTACGGGAATCGGTGATTTGATCTAGCACAGGATTATAGCTTTTAGAGTAGTAAGAGGGTTTTAAGAATTTCCTATTTTCCGTAACCGATTTGTACATGAGTCGTCCCGTTAGGTGACGCCTATTGTCACGGGAGATATCTCTTCCCTAAAAACAAATTTCCATAAAAAAGTGTTATGGAGAAGAGAAGCGTAGAACGGCTTCCATTCCCATTTCAGTTTCGTGTATAAAATTTTCAATGCTCTGTTGACTTTTCCTGGTACTTCCCAGTATGGTATTGGGGTTTCGACGATAAATTTACAAAAGTATTTTTTGTTTTGGTCTTCTTTTGTCCTAGTGGTAATAGAGCGCGTTTAGTTTGCTCACCTCAGCAATGTAGGTTGTTGGTATCATCTTTCTGTTTTCTATTTCTCTTCGACTTCAGTTTTTTAAACAAACAGAATGTTGACCAGCGGACCACCCTCGGATGTTTCCTAGCTGAAAAATTTTAACTTTATATTTATTGATACTTTCAGTCGTTTGGCGTAATTGAGACGTCGAGAGCTATGAAAGGAACGGTGGTTTGTGTTCTTCTTGATCGATGTTCTTTTAATGAAATTTGGTGTGGAAAACTCAATTAAGCGAAAAAAAGTAACAATTTTCCTAGGGTCGTACGTACAACAGGTCACCGATTTTTCTACCACTCGTAATCATTACAGCGTACTTCTTCTATAATCTTTGTAGATTCCACAAGAAGAGAAAAGTGAGAGATTTTCTTTTTTCTTCTGTAATTACATGGACGGGATACTGTAGAGTTTTTGGCTGTACTTCGCGATTTTGTTCCAAGTCAATGTACGAGTTTGATGATCAGATTGAATATATGGAACCATCTGTTGCCACCGTTATCATTTTCTTTGGGTCTTCAGAGAAGGAAAAAGGAATAAGTTCAAAAAGTTTTAGAATCTTTTCCGTTAGTTATTTATGAAGAATGGTTTTGGTGGAAAAGGATAATGCTTATGAGAACATTTTGCTACTAGTGGTAAACCATCTTCTAACCATCATATTCTAAGGCGACGTTACAATACGGTGAAGAGGATTCTCATTTTGTCATGTACACTTTATGAATCGAAAATTAGCGATTCTTCCACGAAAAAAAAAAGGCTGTGTCATAAATCACTACAATCAATGGAATCCATCCTTATTATTTTTTTCTTTTCTTTACCTCAACCTCCCAACGGTTTGTGGCTTCGTCGTGGCTGCTAGGTGCTCTGGTTGCCTTGCTGCGATGTACACCAGGGAGATTCATCTCCACAGCAAGGCCTCCAAAGCTAAGGAGTCCGGCGTTTTCATCAGGAAGCTTAGCTAAGTGTAAACCAATACCAGGATTAACCACCGTCATGGTATCAAACTAGTTGCATGGTGACAAATCTCCTTCTGATCCACAAGGACGGCGAGTGCCTATGGTGGTGACGACCGGGGGCAGACTTTGACTAGGTTGACCTTGGGACTCCATGGAATCACAGTAGATAAACCGGCGAAATCCCGAAAAAATGGAAATTATGCTGGGGCCTGCGTAGTCAGTGAGGACGGGCCATCCAACTATCCAACTGAGTGTCATAAACCGTTCCAATTAATAGACACCATCCATTCTTGTTAATTTTGACAGCCGTTTTGTCGGCTTTTGGGGCATTAGCTTAGAACCTATTTCTTACCAGTTTTTGCCACATTCTAATTCTTTATTTGCTTGGAACATAACATCAATGAACGGCATTATTCACCATCGTGAACATGCGGATCAAGCAATTGAAATGGTAACCTTGAGTTCCATAAAGTAAACTTTTCGTTCTGAGCACCTATGTTGTCGTGTTGTCGCTTCCTCTTCACAATATTGGCGAACTTGAGTAGTTGCTCTGTATAACAACCAGCGTTGATCATCGGATTTGAATCTATCAACTCCCGGTTTGCAACCAGCGAATGCGTTTTCGGCTGAGTTGGTCGGTATTAACTGAGCGACTGTTGTAAAATGGCATGGTACTTGCGGGATTCCTAGCCGGCACAACTCCATATCCAACTGCAATATCTGCAGAAAGTCGTATCTTGTTGACCTGCACAATCCAGTCATGGTTGATCAGGTGTGGTAAGTCGGTTTGCCACAGACACTAGAGTTAAGGTGCTGGTCGATGATGATATAAGCGAAGACAGTTGTTCTCTCCATGCGGCGGGCACTCGATTCCAGAAGCAGCTAGAACATGGCGCGCATAGTTTCGTCACTATTTATGATCAAACTGGCTTCGTAGCTCGTGTTCCACGCACCAAAGAGAACATCCATTCACTTGTGATACTCAACCCATAAGCTGCACTGACGATATTTTTGACGTTCACGAGAATTTTGTTGTGCAACACGTGCTTGTAGAACTCGATCTTACCCATGGTTCATTGCGATTGAATTTTGTCATCCCCACGGCCACATTCGTTCATAGTTTTGCTACAGCATCTTCCATAACACAATAATTAGATGGAATTTTTCAACGAAACATGAAGCGGACCGAACGTGGAAAAAGTGCTAAACAAAAATGACGGAAGGTTTATGTTCCAATTTAATATGTGAAAAGTTGGAAGGATAATGAGTAGTAGTATTTCCTACAGAACTGTTTGGTAGTGTCAACAAACCCTTCGTAAAGTGTCGGATGAACCTGTCTTTGAACCTACATGTTACGATCGAAAATGAATTTCTATTCAAAAGGAGCGACGTTGGAGCCCATATATTCTCTTCAGCGAGGTCATAATCTGTACCTTCTGCCCAACTGGTGATCAATTTTGTAACTCAGACTCGTGAGAAAATATTGGTTGAAGGTTGGCTGAGTATGGTGAATAGCTTGGATTTTATATCTCAGTTCATTAAGCTTCTAGATCTTCTAGATCTAGAGCTTCTAGCTTCTAGGCCTTTTTAAGTATGTGGACCTCGATCAGTATCACAGGATTTCTGCGACTGCTTTGTTATTTTTCGGTAGAGTAGTTTCTTCCTTAAAATTTGTTTGTAATTATTGCTGTTTCGATTGCCATCTGTTTTTGAACACAGATACAACCGATCATAAAGGATGCCGAGGAAAGAGTATTTACCTCAAACCGACCTTGAACGTAGGAAGGTTTACTAACCATGGTAAATCGATATGTCAAAACCTGACCACTAGAATGAACTTGTTAAGATCTTCTGACGTTTACATAGAGACCAGTTATAACCAAAGAACCCATGGATTTAAGCTGGAATAGAGAGGAAGCGAACGGAAAAATTCGAACTGTTTACCATCGCTGTTTGCATTAGTCACGACCAGAAGCTTTCACATAGAGCTTAGTTCTTACCCTCCACATTTTTTGTATCACCATAGCTGAGAAACTTGAACATTTGAATGGTCACTAAATAGTGGAGTCGCTGGCTATTTAGAACTCTTAGCGCGCTGTGTAATGCCGATAATAATTCAGACACGCTGATTTAAGGACCGGTTATCATCATAACTACTTTATTCTTCACATGGTGGTGGCTTTTTTTTACACCCCGAGAGAATTTCCGTGTTGCTAAAATTCTTGTTTACAATCAACTACGGTATTTTAGTTATCCATGCTGTTTTCAATCACACCAGAACACCCATCGTATGTTCGAAATGCTGATACAAGACTACTTGGAATACACGAAGGTCGAATAAGTGAGATTTGATTTCACTATTATGCGCAAAGAGTTACTCCAATAGTTTGCCGCTTTCTATTCAGCTTAGGTATATATATATATATATATATATATATATATATCACCTGTATCACCTGTAGATAGCCCCGTTGATCGTCGAGTGACTCGAGCGGGCGCCAGTAAATCGTCTATTTCTCTCTAGGGACTCGTCGAGCATCATATCTTTCTTCAAGGCTCTTTCTGAAGAACTCTGACCATCGGGTCGGTGGTCTTCCTGCAGTACGTTTGAAATCCCGAGGAATCCAGTCACTAACGGCTCTTGTCCATCGGTTGTCATTCATACGCATTATGTGTTCGGCCCACCTTATCCTCGACTGTTTGGCGTACAGAACGGCATCTTTGATTTTTGATCGTTGATGCAGATCAGAGCTTCGGATTCCATCCCTTACTTGTGTGGAACGGGGCACTCCTAGCATCGTCCTTTCCACTGCGCATTCGATAACGCTGAGTGACCTTTCATCTGCTTACGCAGCGATCACGTTTCTGACGCATACGTTAGAGCAGGAAGTACCGTTGAGTAGAAAAGGTGGGCACGGAATCGGGTGTTCTTTGTTCTCTTCACTACATTCTCGATGCTCTTGAAAGCTCTCCAAGCCACTCGTTTTCTTCTGCTCTAGAGCTAGGTCGTTCATCATATTGATTTCCCGACCTAGATAGATATTACTGGAGCATTCAGAGATATACGTTCCGTTGAGCGTGAATGGGGCGTGCGAAACCAATCCGTTCTTCATGAACATCATTTTTGTGAGATTTAGTTGAAGACAAATCTTTCCACAGGCTTTATCAAAGTTGTGAAGCATATGTTGCGCCTGGCTAATGTTTGGTGTTATAAGGACGATGTCATCAGCAAAGCGAAGGTGGTGTAACTGCCGACCGTCGATTTTCACTCCCATATTATCCCATTCCAGTGTTCGCATGACGTTCTGGAGGGTAGTGTTAGATAATTTTGGCGAGATGGTATCGCCTTGCCCAACTCCTGTTTTGACGTCAAAGTTAATATCGTTGTAGTCACGAAGAATCATTTTGTACTGAGTAGGGACTCCTTGACTATCAAGGGTTTTTCAGACTGCTTCCATCTCAGCTGAATCAAAGGCCTTCTGTAAATCGATGAAAGCGAGACAAAGCGGTCTTTTGTACTCTCGCGATACTTCAATGAGCCGTGTTACCGTGTGGACGTGGTCCATCGTACTAAATCCTCTTCGAAACCTTGCTTGCTCACATGGCTGTCCTTCGTCTAGTGTTCTGTCAATCGTGTTTAGGACGACTCGAGTGAAAAGTTTGCAGACGACAGATAGTAAGCAGATTGGGCGATAGTTGCCGATATCGTGCAGGTCACCCTTCTTGAACAATAACACGGTCTTGTTGGTCTCCCACTTAGTAGAGACCTTGCACTCAGACAGGTAATTTGTGAAGAGCCGAGCCAATGTGTTTACGAGGACCGGACCGGCGGAAAGTTCTTCGAGTGTTCTAATATTATTCTGTCCGGACCCGGTGCTGTTCGATTTTTCGCCGACGAAATGGAATGTCGGATTTCGGAAGGGATAAGCGGTGGTACAACATCTCCATCCTCCTTCATTTCATATGACGGAAGGTGGACTTGGCTATCGAAGAGATCCGAGTAGTATTCGTGAATAATTTTCTCCATTTCCTTTCTGGACGCTGTAATTGTTCCGTCTGGGCGTCGCAGCGCAATCATCTCGGTCTTGTGATTGACGAAGCATCGGTAGACTTTGCGAATGCTTTTCCCAGCCTCTGCAGCTTCGATCATTACTGCTGCTCCTCTATTTTAAAATCATGTTTTATCGCCCACCTGCATTGTTTTGTAAGTTCGGGCGTTAGTTCGCGGTTGCCTGCAGCTTGTGTGGTTCCACGCTGGCGTATCAGCTCGAGTGTTTCTGGAGGCAGACGTCTCTTGGTGACTTTCGAACTCTGAGCTTTCATAACGCTAAGGTGAAGGTGTTGAATGAGGCGATCGCATTCCTCGTCGATGTCATCGACAGCGGCATCTTCCCCACAGCCGACTAATGAATTGAATAAGTCCAAGTTTGTGGTGGTTGTGGGACTTCGGTTCTTGAATTTAGCGGCTTTTTCTCCTTTTCGCGAGAAATAGAATCTTGCACGAAGGAGGCGACGGTCTAATCCCGTGTAGAATTTTGGGATAACGGCGACATCGGTTAGGCAAAACCTATCTACTATGATGTGACCTATTTCGTTATGGGACTCTCCATTGGGAGACTCCCACGTCCAGCGCTGAGGGTGGGGCTTCTGGAATTGGGAGTTACGATGGATGGTCTTGGTCGCCATGAGAAACTCAGACAGCCGATCATTCTGCTCGTTCCATTCTAATCCATGGGTCTCAATGTGACGTTCTTCAGACGTTCTTCTTAGTCCAATCTTGGCGTTGAAATCTCCAACAATGACCTTGAAGAGTGTATGGTCTTCTCTGTAGAACTTCTCCAAGTTGACATAGAACACTTCGACTTCTTCTTCGTCATAGTTTGATGTCGGGGCATAAACGACGAATATTGTCAAAGTCGGAATTGATCCACGTCTTTTTAATCATAAACGTCCGGTTTGGGTTGTAAACTGTTCGAATGAATCGATGTTCATGGACAAACTCGTGTTGACGAGAACGCCGACGCCGCCGACTGCTTTACTGTCGCATGTTCTGAGGAACAGTTCTTCTCCGGTGTCACAGACGGCGTTGAAAGGCTGGCGGCCCCTCGTCTCGGGCAGGTCGATGACGTCGTACCTTATCCTTCTTGCTTGTATGAGCAAGTCTTCTATCGAGGACTCGGATGCAAGTGTACGTGCATTGTAGGTACAGATCGTCACCATAGTTCTTTGAAATTCGGGCGTCTTCCATTGGTCCTAAGATTTTAGCAGCCTCTCCGTACTCGTCCTACTCAACGCTGCGAAATTAGGGCTCTTTCGGGGTCAGGGAATGAGGCCCTTTCTTCTTACTGTGTTTAGCTATTTTTGATACCCACGTATAGCTTGCTGCGCTCTGAGCATGGGGCTGGGTATACTCACGAGTAGTTTGCCAGGGTCTCTCAGAGTGGAGATGGAGCTTATTTGTTGGAGGCCTACCATATACTTCCCAGTCACTTGATTGCAGGCTTTTGGCCGAATTGACTCGTAGAATACAATCCGCATAAGCAAGAACGCACCATGCATGAATATGCCTAGCAAATAGAGAAAGTATGTGCCAAATCGGCGCAACAGAAACAGAGTCCATTCCCTGGATCCAGCTGCGCCTCAGGCAAGCAAAGGTCGCTTTTGGTCCGCGATTAACCCTCTATCCGCCACCTGAGGAGGCGCCACGTAGCCTCGCGACTAACCGGCACGAGATCCCTCATATGAGGAAGATCTGTGGATATATATATATATATATATATATATATATATTCCCAACGGTTTACCGCCTTATCGTGGCTGGGAGGTGTTCCTGGATGTCGGACTGTGATGTACAGCGGTGCATGCATCCATTTCCTGGCAGGGCCTGTCAAGCTTAGAAGGAGTCCGGCGTTTCCATCAGGAAGCCTAGATAGAGTCAACCAATACGAGGATCCACCACCGTCCTGGTGTCAAAGTCGCATGGTGGCAAATCTTCCTCTAATCCACAAGGGCGGCGACTTCCTGTGGTGATGAAAACCTGGGGCAGACTTTGGCCAGGCTGACCTTGGGATTCCAGGCAACCACAATAGCTGAACCAGTAAATCTCCGAAAAATGGAGATTATGCTGGGACCCACACAACCAGTGAGGACGGGCCATTCAAGTATCAAGTAAGTATGTATATATATCCATCGTATATTCATGTGTATATATGCATACGTATGTATATATATACGTACATACATACATACATACTTGTATTTATATATGGGCTCTTAGTCCAAAGTGACGAATTAGGTTTTTCCGCTTGGAAATTCAAGTGGTTTTTAGAAACTCGTGGAAGAAATCATCCGTATTGCGTATAGTCGTATCGCAACGAACTCAATTGAAAGTGGTAAACCTCCTTTCTATGAGGGCTGCTGGTGGTTGCCTGTGAGGGTGCCCTGGCCAGGATTTCAAGGGTTTCCAGAGATATAAAACCTTGTCGTTCTAGCAGCATATCGTTTAGATGTTAACTGAGTAGGGGGAAGCTCAATTTTTTGTCAACTACCGGCCCCTAAGGTATTCATGTGTCAGTAATATTATTGAGAAATTCTCAAATATTGTGTTTATTGTAGTAGTTTTTTGACTAAGTTTACCGAGAATAAGTAAATGAATGAGTAACAACAAGCATAAGAATATGAAAAACAAAGAGTAATAGAAGAACACACGAGTTCGAGCCATATTCCCGAAAATTTAATCACAAAGCGGTAGAGCCATTATCTATGCCAATTGATGTACATATATCAGCCACGTCACTTATAGCCATCAAATAATTGGGACGGGAATTGATAAGCCACTTTTGCTTGCTCCGATTCCCTAATTGTTGCGCTCCGCTGGCTTAGAGTACATGGAAAACAGTATCTTTTTCGTATGAGGCCGTTTTTTTCATTGCTTTTTGCGAAGGGTTACCATTTAATAGCTTTGCTGTGAGGGGTACGCGTACGCTTAGGTGGTTTGTATGCCGCTCCTGAAGTTAATGTAAGGCCGAATTGTTCGCGCCAACCCCTTCCGTGTTCTTCCGGGTTACTGTGTTACGTCTTCCTCCACTCTGAATCCATAGAAAACACTGAGTCATATAAACAGGGATATGTTACCAGTATTTGGAAGGTAGAAGCCAGAAGCCAACCGAGGAGGAATGAAAATTTATGGAAGCCACATATTCATGCGGAGAAAATGTAAAATTATGTGTAACCACACACGACGAATAATCTTTGCAGTTTTAAGATTCTGACTCTTTAGATTTGCCCGCACATTCCATGCATGTGAAGGCATCGTCAATGAAAACTGCTCCGTATTCGAAAGTGGCGAATGTTATGGATTCCAAGATCACTCATAAAAAGATGTCCACAGCGAAGTCAGTGGGAAAAGTTAGAGCAGAAAGTAGTCAAATGCTGCACAAAGCAAATAGCACTGAAGTACAAAAAGTGTCAAACACACGGCAAGCGAAAATTGAATCGAAGTCTGTGGTTAAAATCGGTAGAAAACAAGAACATGAAGCAAGGGCGACGAACGTAAAACAATCGTATGAAATGAGAACGCAAAAAGTAGGAAAAACCACATCAAACAAAAAAGCTCCGATCTCGCATAAATCGGCTTTGAGAGGCACAAACAATGGAAAATATGTCAGCAGCCACGAACGTTGGAAAACAAGGAGTGATTAGTAGTGAAGGTGAAAATATGTTTTTGTGGTACATCGAGTTGTCGACTATACTGTCACACATAATTGAATCACATTTCAAGTCTAGAGATTGCATTCTCTAGCCCTGTAACGACGATATGTCCAGTAATCATTTCACTGTCGTGCAATTTAAATAAAACGTTTATTATGGATTTATGTGCACTATTTTGCGCAATCACAAAATCTAGGAGAAACGTCTCCGGCGTTGAGGAAAAACGCAAAACGCAAATAGAAACAAAACCACTCAAGATATGATGTTAAAGGTTAACGGATAAAGCATTTGGCAGTGATTGGTCCCTGAGGGATGGGCAACACATTCATCTTCATCGAACATCGTTATGAGTGGTCTAGTGCATATCTCTGGGACAGGATGACTTCCGACAATTCACTGATGTATCAGATCGGTTTCGAACTCGTGGAAAACTAATCGCAAGTTCGAAACTCACATAAGGTTCCGAATTTTGCAAATAGCTCAGCATCATTAGGGTTGTATTTCACATAATACCTTGCCGTGAAAAGTAACAGGCAATAAATAAAAAGTTAGACATCAGGTCAGTCATTCTGGCTACATATCATAAAAG